TAACACTAGGTGCTCTATAAATGGGGGAGGGGCTGGGGAGAGAGATGAGAGGTCTCCAGAGTTCCCTGGGAACAGCCTCCCTGTTGGCCTTTCTTTTTCCTGATAATCTGAGTCAGTCTTTTGTGTTCCAGACTGTGCACTGGGCACCACTCCCCAACCCCGTGATCCCACCCAAGAGAAGAAATCAATTCTTACTCTCCAAGTGATTTCTGTGTGAGTCAGGACAGTAGTATGTGATCAGGGCCGGCCCAGCAGAGTCGGGCCAAGGTCTTGTTGGAACTGGAGGCATGTGCAGAGCCTGAGAAGCTGACCTATACATGCACATGGGTGCACACACATGTGCACGTGCACACGCACACATCCCTGGAGGCACAGAGCCCTGAAAACAGTGAAAGCTACGCTGAGCTCACAGGAGGGCAGCAAGAAGAAGGGATGGCAACAAGGGGAATGGAGGGAGGAAGGGAAGGGATGAGAGCACACGAGATCAGATCAGAGAGCAGACCTCAGGTCACGCTGGCAGCCCGTGGTGCACACCTCTGCCTTCACTCACCCTCTGTTGATTCCTGCCAGGCACCCACCTAAATGTGTCCCAAAATCCCATCTTTTCCAGAAGCTTTTCCAGACTTTACTCAAGGAAGAGCACATTTTCTCCACATGAGTTCTGCCTCCAAATTCTTTAGGTTTCCGCCCTAGCCTAGCAGAACAACTCTGCCGGCCCTGCTCACCTAAGTGCCAGACCCCTCTGGCTCTCCCAGGGATTCCCTCTCAGGCGTGTAGCGGCCTCCGCCAGTCCTCAGAGCTTGACGGCCTCTTGGAGCTCCCCTGGTCCAGTCCCAATCCCCACACCCATGGTACACACGGCAATCTGAGCCCACACAGGGGAAGCCGGCTGCCCAAGTCCTCAGTCACCAGCAGAGATGGTAAGAGCCAGCTGATGAGCATCCCCAGGCCTGGACCCCTCCCCTGTTACATGGAATCCCCAGGCCACCTCGCCTGCCCAGGGCACAGCATGGGCTAGGAGCAGGCAGCCCCGAGTTCAAATTCTGACATAGAAGTCTTGCTAGACACATGACCCAGTGTAAATGACTTAACCTGTTTGAGACATCTCCAAAACGGGGGTGACAATCCCAACCCCACAGAGCTGCTGTAAGAATATAATAAGACAATAGAGAGGAGTTACGAAAGTGCCTAGCACGAAAACAGTGGTAACAATTATTACTCTTGCAGTTATTACTGCCATAGGTATGGCGGCAAGGCCTCCTGGGCCCCTCTGCACTGGCCTCCGTTTCCCCGCACCCATTCTCCCTGGCTAAGAGCTCCTCTGTCAGGCTATACATTCGTCTCATGGACCAGTACTCCTTCTGGGCCCCCCTTTCCACCCAGAGCCCCCACCACCCAGCTCCAAAGCAGCAAATGCACAACTCGACTCCACCGCTGCGTCTGGCTTGCTCTAGTGGTCCATCTCCTCCTTCCTCTTCCCAGAAGCCAGGTCACAGCTCCAGCACCCTGGGCTCCAGCGCTGCTGGTACCGTGCCGCCCAGCACGGGACCTCCCCAACAAACACACATTCCAATGTCTCCGGGGGTGGGACACAGTTCCTAGGAGCTGCATTGATTTTAGGGTGACCTGGCACCCCTGCCTTCTAGAAATAGTATCTCTCCCTGTTCCAAGGCTGCCAAGAAAAAAATGCTTCTCACTCCAGTCCCTGTGGATTTCCCTCAAACATACGCTCCCTCTGCCCAGGGAAGGCCAACGTCCAACCGCATCAATGGTGTGGAGAAGGCATCCATTCTCTGGCCCACAAAGAGAATGAGGGGGAATAGGGGCAGCTGGCCGGGAGCACTGGTCAGATCTGGAGGGCATGGGAGGGACTCCCGGAGGCACCAGTGTGAGGAAGGGCAAGAACTCTCTGCAAAGGTTGTGACCACTCTGTGAAGACCGCTGGTCTCAGGGTTGCCCCGGTCGGGCCTCCCCTCTCCCCAGACGAGTCCTCTCTGCCTCCCTGTGGGGACCCTTAGCACATCTTGCCAGGTTCTCGAATGAGAGGTAAAACCTGCCCCTGCCTCCAGAGTGGCAGAGAGAGCCAGTTCTGGAGGCAGACAACAACCCGGCTCCACAGCTTGCCCGCGTGTGTCTCTGGGCGGCGACTTGCCCTTTCTGGATTTCTCAGTTTCCCCATCTGTACAGTGGTACTGGTGATTCTCTACCTAACAGGACTGCCATGACGATTCAATGACATGACGTCTATGAAGCATCCAGCACAGGCCTATCCCCGAAACCAAAAGCCCAGGGCTCCTATCAGGCACACTGCAGGGGTGGCAGAACGGAGGGCGGCAGGCGAGGGTGGCATAACACTGCGTGTGGCCCTCTCCCAAGTGTGGGGTCCATTCTGAGCCAACAGAGCAAAGGAAATTTCTCAAAGATCACATGGACCAGTCCTCACTCCCTTCCCCTTCCCCCAGGCCCTAGCTGTGCCCTTCTCCTTTTGCTAGTGGACTTCCCTGTCACTCCTGTCCTGGGGATGTGGGAAAAGGACAGCAATGAGAAGTCACCACCCACGCAGAGGATAAGTTTATGGGCAGTGACATCATCCTCCCTGCCACTTTTCCTCCTCCCCTGACCCCGTGACTCAGATCCACAGCTCAGCAGCCCCATGTGGTCATAATCTCGGAAGCTGCTTGGATTTGGGCATTTTTCTGCACACAGCCCAAACCCCATAGGACCAACCAAGAACCATCACAACAGGCCAGACATTTGTTCTATAATACTCTCCAGGAGTCTCTGTGTGTGCTGTAGAACCCCAACTCACAGCTCTCTAATCACGCTGCATCTCTAACCCCAAACAGCGTCACCTAGCTCTGTGTCAAACCCAAATCTACTCCAAAGAATGAAGACTACTCCAGAGAAGGTGAAAGTTTCAGGATGGGGGAGTTCCACAGAAAGGTTCGGAAGTCACCCTCATCAGAATAAGAACGCAGACTCCCCAGAGGACTACTCTGAAGGGACGACACTTCTATAACTGTCCTTTCCATAAACACTACAGCACCCAACCCAGCTGCAGGTATCTGAACATCTGTGACATTCAGCCAACCTACTTCCATTGGGTGCCGGGACAGAGCTGAACAGGGAATGGGGACAGAGAGGAAAACTGGGTGCTCAAACACCACCACCCCTTCTCACCCCGAGGCTCGCATCACATGGGTTTCTCACCTCTGACCAGCTGCAGGGTCTGACTTCTTGCAGGGCAGGAGTCAAGAGTAAATTGAAAAGCTTTCTGCAGGCAGGAAAAACCAGCAGCCATGCCATGAGGACACAGAAGAACTCCAAAGGTCAGTCATGGGACAATGAGAGCATCCCTGAGGCCACTTAATGTATGGGCAAAGCTCTGTCCCTCAAGAGTCCCCTTGCCATGCAACCCCTCAGTGCAAAAACTGATGTTTACAGAGCTGATTCGAAGTCATGAAGGAAAATGTCATTCGCATCGGGACACTCTGCTAAGCTGACTGTGATGTATGTAAATGTCCATGGTCAACAGTTAGCCTAAGTGTTAGTGCTAAAGTCCGGGAACTCCAGACATAAGAGAAATGTACTCACTCCAAATAACTCCCAATTCCCAAACCAGCTGGAAATAGCCACCCCTTCACTCCCCACAGCCCCACCACCCTCCACCCCTGCGCTCCTGCAGATCAGCCCAACCCACTGGACAGGTTTAGACCTCAATTTCCAGTGTAGACTTTAATTCCCCTCAGCCTCCAAAAGTGCCCACCTATTTGCAGGCCCCCAGACTACAAGGAAGGCTGCCCAGAATCAGATTTTCTAGGGATTGCTGGAAGGCCACAGGGAATCAGAGAGGCGGTTGAACTAAATAAAGAACTCTGTTAAAGACAGAACAGCTTCATTACTTTCTAATATAGAAACTAACTGCTAAAGATATGCTTGTAAGAAAAGGACCTGGGGCCTTAATTTAATGAAGAGATCAGACTATTTACAATTATCCACATCCAATTTGAAGGTAAATAGTTTTTCTAATTAAGTCAACCCCCCCCCCCACACACACAAATCTTTGCTTTTACTATTTGCCCAATGTTTTCCCCCAGCGACAGATTGCATATCTGAGTCATCCATCACGAATTTCTCATTAGGGCAGGTTTGGCTTAGAAATAAAACCCCTGCCTTAGGCTCCCAAACCTGCCAATTTGCTAGCTAAACAGCAATGATTGAGGGCCCTGGGGCCCTGGGATTCAATTCCTTCCCCTCTAGTGTGGCCCCACCCTGGCTCCTACCTCCCCCTACCGTCTCCCCACGTCCTCTCCCGCCACCTCCCCATCCTTGTTCCCTCCTCACCCCCTTAATTTTCTTGGGCCTCTGTCGACCTCCCCACCCTAACCATCCTTCCCAGAATCTGTCCCCCCACGCTCACTGCTGCCTGTGGACGTCCCCCGGCCGACCACTCCTGCATCCCTCGGGGCCAGGCAGAGCGGACCCACCTAGTCACTCGCCCTCCCCTCCCCCGCGGCGCCCCTCCTCAGGGCTGGCGGTGCGCGTGTTCTCCTCTGCAGGGCCTGGGGGACCCTGCTTCCCTCCTAGCCCCGGCTCCTGCTTCGCGAGGCTTCCGGAGTCATCCACACAGTGACAGATCCGCCTCCACCCCCGCTCCACACCCCGGGCCTCCGCGAGCACTCTCTCGCACCCACGGTCCGCCAGCGCTTGCCGGGGGTCGGCAGGGCGGACGGAGCCCCAGCCGCGGGGAAGGGGAGGCTGCGCTGCGGGCGGGGTTGGGTGCGGCCGCCCCAGCTCCCTCCCGGCCCAGGAGCCCGAGCGGCGGCCCCGCGTTCCCGTGCTCACGTGCGCCGCGGCCGGGACCGGAGACGGCTGGGAAGGCGACTCCGGCTTCGGCAGCCCGCGGCGCGAGCGCCGTTCGGCCTCGGCGGCTCCTCCCGGCCCCGGCCTGGCCGCGGACAAAGGCCGCCCCACCCGCGCCGCGCCACGCAAGCACTCACCGCGCGCCGACTCCGGCGGTCGCGGCCGCGGCGAGCGAGGCCGAGCCCGAATGTGGGCCGGGGGCGGCCGGGAGCCCGAGGGGCGGGGCGGGCTGGAGAACGCCGCGGGCCCGGAAGGCGGCCGGGTGCGCCCCCGAGGCCGGATTGGCCCCGCCGCGGCGGCTGGGGGCAAAGGCCTGAGCCCGCCCGCTGGGCAGGACACTGCGCCCGGACCCCGCCCCCGCCCCCAGGCCGGACCCCGGCGGGTAACCGGGTGCTCCCGGAGAGGGGCGCTGGTCTCCTCGCGGCCCATCCCCCACCCCGCTCCCTTACTTCCAAGAGCCAGGCTTTCTTTTCCGCGAGAGGGGACAGGTGACTGGTCATTGATCACTCCCACCCTCCGGGCTGCTGGCGGCAGAGCAGGGCTCGAATCCGGCTGTCCGAGCCCAGTCCTGTGAGCTCCGTAGACACCGGCCTGGAACCGCAGCCTAGAAAGGGTTAACTCAACTGCGAGGAATTGAGAGCCGCTGGGAGCTCTCTATAAATACAGTGTCGTGGGCGCCCGAGCCAACCACAGGGCAATTTCCACTGAGTTGGTTTTCCTCTTTTCCTTCCACCCACGGCCACCCGGCCGGCCCTGCCGCCAGCCCCAGGCCAGGCTGGGGGCCAGCCCAGGCTCCCAGGGGGGGAGCAGGCCTGAGGCCTGGTGCCCTTGGACTCTGTCCTTACAGGGCCCAGCTCCATCCTGGGAGGAGGTGGGGGTCAGGCCCGTCCAGATTTTGCCTTGGTGCGTGCCCTTGGTCCCTGCACCTGCTCTTGGATCGGTTCTTCATAATGGGGGGCGGGGAGGCGGCAGCACCTAAAATGAAGGGAGGCTTCTGGGGGCTAGGAGCTTTCTGTGCTGAGCCTCTTTCGATCTTCACAACAGCTCCCCCAGGTAGATAATATTATTACCATTTTATAGACGAGAAAACCGAGACTCAGAGGGATGAAGGGACTTCAACCTCGTGCAGCAGCCAGGCTCACCACCAAGTGACAGCAGCAGTATTGGAGAAGACTTGGGAAACGTGTATGAATACATGTGTGTCCCTCTGCACGTGTTGCCACTGTTTTAAGCTCTTTTCCATTTTACTCTCGTTTCATCTTCACAATTTATTGAGGGGTATGCCATTATTATCCTCATTTTTACAGATAAGGAAATTAAGACGCAAAGAGATTCAGTAATTTATTCGAGGACACATAGCTATTAAGAGAGGAACCAGGATTTGTCCCCTTAAATGTAAGTGCTGTAGTCAAACTTAAATGTGTGTGTGGTGCATGTGTAGGGGTGGTGGTGCGTGGGTGTGGGTATTTGTCATGGGTGTGGGTATTTGTGAACACATGCAGGCAATTCTCTGTATTTGAGTCTACGTGCACATGTGTTTCTGAATGTCTTTGACTGCGGCTGTATCTGTGGGATTGCTAACTGCTCCTACGGATGGTGGCAGAGAGGCCAGCTGTCTGGTTCCTGATGACCTCCGAGACCTCTGGACCAATCTACGCTGCTCTCCTCTGCCCTATCAGGCCCTGTCCAGCCTTGTCCAGCCTGGGTCTAGCCACACAAGTCTCCGGATGAGTAGCCCCCACTTGGCCCGCAACCTGGAGAAGAAGCATCCCAGGGAGAGGTGTCCCTGGGTTGGGGAAGGCAGGACCCTTGCAGCAGGACTCCTGTAGGAGGCCGTAGGTGGCACTGAACAGATCTAGAGGAACTTACTTTCCTTCCCTTCACCAAGAGTCGGTCATGTGCTTTGTGCCCTACAGTGGTGACAAGTCCTGTCCCAGATGATTTATAGTCTGGCAGGGAAGGCATTACTCGGCCATGCTGGACAGTGAAGGAACAGCGCAGGGCAGTTTATAGTGGCAAGTAGGGAGAGACTTTTATCATAATTGCTCAAGAGCACAGGTCAGGAGGAAAGGAAACAGGTGTTGGCTCTCATTTCTGGAAGTAGTGGGTTGAGAGGGCTCTGAGCCCCTAGGAAGGGGAAACAGCTTGGGCAGGGCATAGATGGGGTGTCTATAGAGCCAGCTCAGCTGGGACTCAGACACTTAGCCCAAACATAGACATCTAGAATGACCATCCCAGCACAGTAGAGTCTCCTTGGTTCACAGAATGTTTGTCTGGCTGTCCCTGGGACTTTGGGAACAGGTGTGCTTCACAGAGGCCCCCATCTGAAGCAGAAAAATTCAGGATGGAGGGTTGCCTTCGTGTATTCTTTCTGGACAATAGACTCCCCAGCAACACTCCACCCTGCCTCCTGTGCCAGCACAGAAGAAGTGGATGGCTCAGAATAGTCTATCTTCAGTTTTGTCTCAGGTTCCCCCAAGGAGGTCACAAAGCAATCCAAAAAGATCTAGATTGGGACAAGCCTTCCCCCACTTTTTTCTACCTACCATCCTGCAGGCTCCTCAAACTCAACATGTGCAAAAGTGAACTATCACCTGTCCCCCAAAACCTTTTTCTCCTCCTACATATACAGGAAGGACCAAGTGCCAAACCCGGACTCATCCTACACTTTCTCTTCCCCCTCGCTGCCACCATCCAGACAGCCATGAAGGGATGCTCTAGAATATCTTTGGAATCCATCCCTTCCCTGAATACCCTACTGCCACCCCATCCTCATCTAGGCCCCCATCACTCCCCACTGGATTAACTGATTCTCCTGACTGTAACTCCTCAGTCCATAGCTTCCAGAGACATTTTTCTGAAATACAAATCCTCCTACAATATCCCCCAGCTGCTCGAAGCCCTCCACTGTTCTCATTTGCCCTTGGGCTACTAGTTGTCCCCTAAAGTTCATTCTCCTCTTCTTACTTACTAACAGAGTATAGCTTTTGTCCTAAGAAGTTCTATGCTTGGTTGAAAATACATTGGTTCTCAGACTCCCTTGCAGCTAGAGGCAGCGACATGACCTAGTGTAGCCAATGAGATGGAAATGAAACTCACTGATTGGTGCTTTGGGGAAAGCTTGTTAAAAGAGTAGCCTTGAGTTATGGAAACCAGCATGGTGGTTCCTCAAAAAATTAAAGCTAGAATTATCATATGATTCAGCAATTCCACCTATGGGTATATCCCCCAAAGAATTGAAAGCAAGGTCTCAAAGAGATACCTGTACACTGTGTTCATAGCAGCATTATTCACAATAGCCAAAATGTGGAAGCAACCCAAGTGTCCATCTACAGAGGAATGAATGAGCAAAATGTGGTGTATCCATACAATGGAATACCCTCTTAGTACTTTCCTCAGGGCAGAAACTATGAGTTCATGGTGAAATAAACAGACAAATTCCCTTTGCCTCTTGTGACATACGAAAGTAAAAGTATCTCCCCCATTTATTTAAATATACTTAAATCAAGCAAAGAATTCCTTAACCTAGGTTTAAAGTGGGAGCTATGCCGATGTTTCTGGCCATCTCATAGAGCAGCTAAGTGGTCCATCTTATAGGAAGGAGCTCAGAGACACTGGGATGTCTCTCCTAAGAGTGATACTAAAATCTATTCATTTTGACTACTTCCATAAGAAAGAAAAATCAATTCTTGGCAGTGCTGGGGGTTTAAGGCCCCATTTGGATGTTTTCCCAGGGATCCCTGTGACACTTAGCCAACATTTCGGCACTGGCCTCCCTCCACTCAGGCTGGTTGGTGCACGTCTCAAGTTGTTTGCACTTTTAGGCCTCAAGTCCTTGCTTGATGCCTTGGCAAAAGCCACCACCCACCACCC